GTTCATAATTAATATAAATAAATTACAAGTTAAAAGGGGCATGGAAATTTCTTTTTTGTATCGAAAAAATATCGAAATGAACCGCGAATTTCCTGTATCGTTGCACCCCTAATATTATTTATTTATTTAATCGGGCTAAATCAGAACTGGCAGTTAAGACTTCTAAAATAATCGGCCAGAAAACTGCAATCAGTGCACCCCTGCTTTAAATGACTTTCAGAAAGCCTAAAGAACTACTAATTTGGTCCACTTTAGAAGATCAGTCTGAATTTAGCTTTTAATAGAGTTGATCTAAGTTGTGGTCAGCTTAAACTTTGTGTTAATAACAGTGACTGATCTGAAACACAAGACAACCACTGTCAAAGACAATTGGATTAACTGTTTTGTGGAAAGACAAAGTCATTCATCCTGCAGCATCCAGCAGCATTAAGGGTGTAAGCTTTAAGTCACAGATTTCCAGGCGGATTGCAGATCTAAATAAGATTATTGTGCTCAGTGTAGGGGGTCTCTGCAGCAACATGGCTCCTGACATCCACCGCACAGTAAGCCTACAGTCTGCGAGGACCATCTGAATAAAAGATGAGCTGCTTCAGCTGTCCACTGCGTATGTGTGGAGGCAATGATGGGGGGTTGGGTGGGATTACCCTGGGGTGTTTCTTCATGTGACACACAGACCCACTGGTCAGTGTGACATTTCCCCGACAGAAACCACCATTCACACTCTGAAGCAGCGCTCGTGCATGTGTGTGGACGGGGARTGGGTTTAAAAGCCCGCTTCAGGCTACAGATAAATCCTCCTCTGACAGACGTGTCTCTGGTTGAACATYCAGGACGTGTTCACTACCTGTCAGTCTTTGTGTTTCAGTTCGTCCTCCTCTCCTCTGTTTCCACACAGCTTTATTAAACTCCACTATCTCCTTCACAGCAACGTCTCCTGATGACAAATATCTCCTATCTCCACCGAGCCACTCTCAAGTAAATCCAATAAATAGCCAGGCTTTATATTGCTGTTATTTGTGTGGCAACTGCAACAACTCGTGATAAAGAACTGGACTGCACTGCACTCAAACTAACCTCCACACTTCCTCATTTACACAAACACAAGCAGAAAAAGCACAGCAAACTCTATGTAAAAGCGTAGATGCATGTATCGTTGCTATTTGTGCTTTCAGCAAAAGAAAATCTAATTTAAATATATAATTTCGGCCACTAAACATTATTTTTACCATTAATTTGCGCTTTTTGAAACTGCTGGTTTGGTTCAGAGCACCTACAATGTTACTCTTTAGTAAAATAATTTCATATTTACCAAAAAATAATCTAACCTTTCTTAGTTTGTGCCAKAAACTTGAACAAAACTGGGATTTCAGGAACCTTTACCAAAAAATGTGCATGTAAAAATATCCAAGAATCCCAAATAGAGCTCCCTTTTGGTTGAATACTCAAAATAATAACCCATTTAATCCACTGATAGTCACGTAATTTACTTCTTAAAGTGGCAAACGATTCTCATTTGGACTTAAACAAGCATTTAAGCTCCAGTTCATAGAAATAATCAATTACAGCTTAAAACTATGTAAATATAACCAAGTTGTAAATATATACACACAGCTACCCTCTCAATAACCTTTTATTTTGCAGCTACCAGTAATTTCATACAGCAGTGCCACATATTTTCCCTAAGGGGCAGGTCTCCTCTCCAGTTGTAATTAACTGCTGGCATGTGGGAAACCAGCACAGCAGTCAGGGCTGCATTTCATGTCTAAATCCACAGTTTAAGGTCACATAAACCACGCTGCAGCACTTGCATGGGCCACAACAGTGTCAGGACTGAAGGTCTATGAGACAGTGAAGGGTCGTGCATTTCACACAGACACAAGTGGGCAGAGAGGATGAATAGCTCAGTTCTACAGTGTGCCGAGTTTTCAAGGCGAGGAACAGACCAKCTGTGTTTTCAGGACTGAAATACTCTGTGAGGATGAAGAGTGACACTTGAGAACTGTGACAGGCTAGTATTTAGTGAAGGACACGAAGAGTGATCTAACTTTAGTGGATTTACAGAAGCCAAATGTCAACAACACTACAAGACCTGTTTCAGTCTGCAAGCCTGCACAGCTGTATTCTGAGCATTTAATTGATTATTCCGAATTAATTTAAGAGTTTATTTTTCCTTCATAGTTTCAAAAATTGACATAACTTGTTTGCAACTTTAGACCATTATTGTCAAACTGTGTTGAAACTAAACCTGCAGCAAAAACGGGAAAAACGAGGTTGTTATAAAATCCTGCACAACTTGCCTCAACACCTGCCAAACTCCACTGACATTTCTGAGAATTTATGCATTTAAGCTCATGGGCGAGTCCGTGAGAAAAGCAAAAACAAGACTCTTTAAACTGATCAAATCTCTAAGAATTTTYACACATTTCGGCAAAGTAAAAACAATAAAAAATTAAAAATTACAAAATTTTAAGTTTTATTAAATATTTCTTTTCGTTTGTTGGCTGGCTTGACATCAGTGACACAACAGGTGAATCGTTTTTTAAAGTGAGTCTATTTATAAGGTTTTACTGACAGAGACCGACTGTTGTTAAATTACTTACCTTGATCTCTGTGACTTTTCCGGAAGGTTTTTTGAAGAAAGAGGTCCTGGCCGTGAAAAAGTACTCTTCAGAGTCGTCCTCTAAGCTGCTGTAGCCACTGCTCATCGTGCTGTTCCACGTCATTTGCGGAAAAGAATTCCTCGACTCATTAAAACTTCCCCAAACGACGCAGCTGTTAGCGACAAAAACAATCTCCAGACACGGCAATGACTCAAAGCTGCGCGTGTTTCTGTCCACGGCGCCACAGGTTTGCTGTATGGGAGGATCTCCTCCTTTAAATCCGCTCAACTGTCTCCCGGTCGTCTCCCTTCCTCTTATCCGGTCTCTCGCCAAACTCCACCGGCATGTCCAAAAATTCTTTCAAAAACTTCCACGTTTTTATTAAAAAACCCAAAATGTCCACTTTGAGGAAGTAGGACTTTCTTAAACTAGAAACAATTAATAAATTTTAAAATAAGTTGCCGAATAATCCCATTAGGTGGTCCCTGCACGCGACGTCTTCCTGTTTGACTGTTGAACATGAAGTGACAAGCGGCCAGCTACAGTATGACTCCGCCCATTACAAACCCGACCGACCAATCACCTGCCGTAACATATATTTAACCCGCCTAATACAACGGGACAACCAATCAGCACGTTGATAGCAAGTTTGAGTTTTAGAGATTATAATTAAACTTATAAAATAAACTTCAAGCTAATCAAATAGTTTTTTTTATGTCATAGCATCGCTTTGAGTCTCCCTGTTTTAGGCAAACACCTTAATAGGAACTACCTTTCTAAATTTACTCATGCCTAAATGATTTACAGGAACTTTTACAAGTTCTAATAACTTTTTTACTTAATACCCTAATACTGTTTTACCCTTCAGGTGTTTCTCCTTTCATATTTTTTTTTCTTCTCTGTGAAATTGAGACTGAGCCCTTGAGCTGTTTACTGATTCTTGGTTTGTTTCTACTCTGTCTCTAATTCACTCAGCAAACCTGAGAAGAGACTTCGGGCAAGAAGAGGCTCTCAGACAGCTTTCATGTCCATTCTACCACTAGTTCAGTGTTCTGTCGCAAGTAATCCCACTCCAGACACGAGTGGACGCAAGACTGAAAAGAAATGTTAACGGGCTTAAAGCCGTATGATATCTCCAGTAACTGAGATGTTCTGTAGCGCTGCAAATGCATGATTAAGACAGTGGAAGGCTTTGAGTGAAATAAAAAGTCTTTATGTGTTGAAAGAAGTTATGTTTTTGGTGGAGAGATGCACCCTTTACCATGAAGACAGGACTGGAGTTTAGCAAAGAAAACACCTTAAAATTTCAAAATGTTTGTGTACAATCTGTCTGCTTATTGAAAGTTGACACCAGTTTTTCTGGATAAAAAGTTCTTAAAACATCAGATCACTTTATGAAAAGGTCTTTCATAATTTTCAATGCAACATCTGCCCTTATGTACAGAATTAAACACAATTTTAAGAGTATTAGATTCTCTCAAGTCCACTAAATCCATCAAATATCTCTATAGAAATAAGAAATGTGACTTTCTGATAACACTGTCATCAGCAAAACACTTAAAACATTCATTGGATATAAACCAAGACAGTCGTCAATCTCCCGTTTCTAAAAATGCTAAACAATAAGTTGTAATATAGGTTTTAAAAGGTATGTCCTTCCTTACAATTGTTAAAAAGAATAAAAAACTGTAAAACTTTTTAATTCCGCTAAAAATTTGGGCATCTTGACAAAAAGGTCAAATATTGACCTCTTGTGGTCAATAGAGGAACTGCATATTTTGTTACTTGAGCATGGGCTTCATTTCTCAGACACAAAGTCTGTTTGTGTCGCAGACAGAAAGATCTGTATAGCTGTAAACACTCAGTTATTAAAAACACCATTTATAAATTTGCGCGCAGAAAATTACTGAATACAAAACAAACTTAGGTGAATGTATAAAAACGCAATACTTACAAGGTGCGTAATAAATACACACCTACTTCTCATTCAGTATGTACCAAATACCTTCTGAATACTGGGTATGTACCAGGCAGTATTTTTATATGCCTTTATAAACATTTGTATCACGTTTAGTTAAACGTGAGCCTCTTGACTCAACAGGCACAGGGTTAAAATATGTTTATTGGGATTTATTTATTTATTTATTTATTTATTTATTTATTTATTTATTTATTTATTTAGATTTCATTAAGGGCTAAGTTCTTATTTTATATGTTAATTAAAAATTATATTATATCTTCTTAACTGGTATTTTCCCTAAAACACAAAACCTTGATGCCATGTGCTTTTAATACACATTACTACAGAATCAGCAAGTTTTGAATACTCTCAGCCAACATGTTGTCATCGTTCTGTGTAATAAAACAGAGGCGAGTATAAAAAAATCTAAGAATGTTATACATCATGTTTACTCCAGAAGCATCTTGACTGCAGAGTTTATGTGACTGTAAAACGGATCAAGGAATCATTTAAACTGCAGCAGGTTTGTGAAAACACTTTCTATTCCCGTTTTTATGGGKTAACATTTGGTTATTGTTAACTAAACTGGGGCAAATTAAAAGCATGCTCTGGTTTCAGTTACTCCAAGAAACTCACAGTCTGTACTGAACGTGACGCTAAGGAGCTTTAACACAATACTGTTCATGTAACAGCCCACCCAGCTGCAAGAAACACCGCAAATATCAGCCAAGCTGGTTCAGCTGCAGGCTTGACTGTATGGTCCATCTGCATCCAATCAAGCCTAACCCCCACACACACCTAAATATGTTATGCACACACAACAGCAGTAACAACCATCAAACACACAGGGAAAACTTTGGACACAAAAGTTCACAAAAGCTCTAATTTAARGTCAGGTTATACAGTATAAATGGCCGGTAAATGAATGGAAGTCAACGCAAAGTCCCCATGAGGATAGAAGAGCAAACGTGTATGTGTTGTCCCTTGTTTTAATCTGCTGCCCAGTCAAGTTGGCCTGGAGCCAGTCTGGTCAAACATTACCGGAATTCCAGTTCAGACGGCTTCTCGCTAACTGAGTCTGAGCCGAGGTTCAAGCACCGAAACGTGATTCATTTATGAATTATAACGAGTCGATCAAACCGGTGACTCAGCTGGCATTTTTTAAATTAATTTATGTCATTCTAACAACAATTAAGACAATACAAATAATAATGTGTCAAAAAAACACACAACACAACATGTTCAAATGAAAGGGAGCAGAAAGAAGAAAAAAATCTTGTAACATCTGCCCCTATTTTAATATATACTGTATATATCTACAAAACATTCAACATGCAGAAATTAAACTTAACTTTCACAGTATAACAAAATAATCAACAAAACAACATCACAACAGAAATATGAATTTCAACCAATACCATGTTCATATCTCATTAAAAAAAACATTTAAGCTTTCTACCAAATGAGTAAATTGTTCCAGCATTTTTAAGCTCATTGTCCAAGTTGTTCCACAGTTTAATTCCTCGAACAGAGGTGCATCTCTCCCTTAAATTTGGTTTAATTTTTGGTTTCACAAACATTTCAAGTCCCTTCAAATTATAAACACTATCCCTCTTAACTAAGTTGGATTGTATATTAGGTGGCAATACTTTTTTATGAGCCTTATACATAATCAACAGAGTCCTATAATCTASCAATTCCCCAAATTTCAACAGTTCCAATTTAGGGTGATAGTAGTGCTTTCTTGTTACAATTCTCACCGCACGTTTTTGCAAAATAAAGTGTATTTGTAAATGTTTTACACGCACTGCCCCAGACCTCAACACAACAGGTCAAATGTGGCACAACTATAGCATTATATAAGTAATGCATTATTATTAAATATGTCTTTGGCTTTATACAATACTGCAATTGAATTTGCAATTTTAGTTCTTAAGTAGTTAATATGGGGTCTCCATGTCAGATTTTCATCAATAATAACCCCCAAAAACCTCACTTCACTAACCCTGGAAATAACACCACCAATTTTAAATGAAACATATACTTTTAATTTCTTTTTAGTAAATATCATATAGTTGGTCTTGTCTAAATTAAGTGATAATTTATTTAACATAAACCATTCTTATATTTTTACAAAATCTGATTGTATCGTTGTAAACATGTGATTTGGATCATTACCTTAACAAATGAAATTAGTGTCATCTATAAAGAAGACACACCTGAACAACCTTGACACATTTACCAAGTCATTAACATATAAAAAAACAATTTAGGACCAAGCACAGAGTCCTGTGGGACACCGCAAGTAATTACATCAAAAACCGAATGTACATCATTTATTTGTACAATTCTTTCTTATTTGACAAATAACTTGACACCCATTGCGAAGCCAAACCTCTCTCACCATATTTGTTTAATTTGCTGATAAAAATGCTGTGGTCAATAGTGTCAAAGGCTTTCTTTAAATCAATATTCACAGTAACAAATTTTCCTTTGATCCACAGCAGTAGTTATCAGTTCAATCAAATCAACAAGTGCTGAAGACATTGAATGGTGAGTTCTGAAACCATATTGACCTATCAATAAAGCAATCCAATCTAATCACAATCTCTCCAAAATTTTAGAAAATTGTGGCAACAAAGAAATGGGCCTATAATTAGAATTTTTTTCACCACTTTTATAAAGAGGGATTACTTTGGCTACCTTCATGCCTCCAGGAAATATACCAGTTGAAAAGGACAAATTACATTTGTAAAAGGTTCAATGGTAATCATTATCACCTTTATAAGGGACATATCCACATCCAACCAATCCTTTGACCTTTTATCAGAAAAACATTTAACCACATTCAATATTTCTTCTGTATTAGTTTTTTTAAATAAAAAATAACTATTAGTACAACCCTTCAAGGTATTTACCACATTAACATTATCATTTACATTGGGTATTTCAGCAGCCAGACTTGGGCCAACATTCACAAAACAATTATTGAATTCATTAACAGTTTCGTTTTGATCATAAATATCCTCGTCATCCTTTACAAAATATTGTGAAACACTTGTTTTTACCTTATTTTTCAAGACATCATTCATTATTCGCCATGTAGCTTTCATGTCATTATGGTTTTTCTCTAGTAAATCACTGAAGTACTTCATATTTTGCTTTCTAATCATCCATATCAATTTCTTTTTGTACTTTTTATATTTCTCCTCAGATTCTTTGGTTCTTGACTTCAAAAATCATGTATACAAATTCTTCTTTTTTTTACAAGCATTTCTCAATCCTTTTGTCATCCAAGGTTTATTTATGCTAGATGACTTATTATTAATATTGAGCTTAGAGTTTTTTTCATATAACGCTCCTAAAATATTCATAAAAGTATCATATGCACCATTTACATCTGCAACATATACTTCACTCCAGTTTTGTTTTTAATCACTTATTAGATTATCCAAGGCTATTTTAGATGTGTTAATGTTTTTCATGAACAAATTTGTGTATCATTTTGTAAATAATTGCAAATCATGAAAAATGGAAGATGATCAMTTATATCAGTTATCAAAATACCTCCCATCATTTCCGCATCGATTTTATTAGTAAAGATATTATCAATTATTGTTGCACTGTTGGTGTTATGATGATGTGAAAGGAGTTCAAAACAACAACCAAACAACGAGAAAGTTTTAACAGTTCAAGAATGGACTGAATGAATTAAAGCTCTCTGGCTGTATTCCAGACAGAGGTGTCACACATGCCGCAACGTCCGGTGGTGATGATATCACCGTAGTTTAATCTGAATCTGGGAACGTGTTTGTTGGTCAAAAGCCGTTGGTCAGAGAGCGAGGAGGTACCGATAAGGGGCGAGACAAAGATCCTTAGTCCAGAGTCCAGAGCAAGGGTTCGAAGCGTTTGGTCAGAGAACGAGAAGGTACTGATGAGAGGCGAGGCAAGAGGCAAGGGTCCAAGGTCCAGAAACGAGGTCGTGGGAAACAAGGCAAGACGAGGCATGGGGAAAAAAATAACGCTGGCGAATCTACTAGGCAAGGCTCTTCGATAATCTGGCATCAAACAAGGGGAGAGCCTGGGTTTAAATACTGGAGACCACAGGTGAGTGAGATAATCATCATTACTAACTGGAGGAGTGATGTGACAGAGAAGCTGTGACGGGCAGAGCAGAGCATGAATCATGACAGTTGGATGTAATTCTGGTGGGTTTTGATATGAGTGGGTAAAGGTTTAAACTGTGCATTGCATTTACACTCACCGGCCACTTTATTAGGTACACCACGCTAGTAACGGGTTGGACCCCCTTTTGCCTTCAGAACTGCCTCAAT